AAGCCAGAGGCCTGAAGGGGCTGAAAAGGGAGGGTGTTACCCGCTCAGCCCCTCCTGCGCCCCGCCCAGCCCTTCTCATCTCCCCTCTTGTCTGCCTCTGGCCAGGCTGGTGGGAAAGCCAAGGACAGCCAGAGGCGAGGGCGAGCAGGGAGTGAAAACTATGGCGGTCCGGGGTGGACTGGGGAATGGGCCTGGGTGCGGAGAAGGGCGAGAAGCAGGAAAAAAGAGCCACCGGGAAGAGCCCGTTCCGCTGCAAAGACAGACCCCGGCGCCAAACCCGGTTCTGAGGCCGCGCCTCTGCCTCCTTGGTGCCTCCAGCCTGGGTAGGAGGAGCCACAGCGCCACCCAGCGCCCATTGTTGAAGAACCGCGGTCGGGGCTCTTGGCGGGTGGAACAGGGCCTTGGGTCAGGGCCTGGAGGAAAGTGAGTGTGAGTAAAGATGGGCCAGGCAGTGGTTGATGGGCTCTTAAACTAGACATTCTCCCCATTCATTTCACCCGCCAATCCATCAGGCACACGGTACTAGATGACTTACTGCAGGTGAGCTGACAATGTTCTGCCCAAGCTTAACAATCTTTGGTAGCTCCCAAATGGGTCACCGTATCAAACCCAAATTCCCTGTTGTGACCCTCAAAGCCGTTCATGCTTTGACTTCAGACAACTTTTCAAGCTCATCTCTTGGCTTCACTTTACACACCCTAAAACTGCTCTCTCTTGTCTAAATGTACATTCACCACCTCCATATCTAATTCCATTCATTCAGCGGACACTGACCAAGGCATTGCAGGACAAGGTCTTGTCTGCTCGGCCTACATTCAAATGGAGAGAGAAAGACAATGAACGGAAAGCCAGTGTGAAAACACAATTATTTTAGCAAGGTGGTGCTAGAGTGTCTGGGTTAAGAAGGGCACTGTTATACCAAGAGTAATCAAGAAAGGTCTTTCTGAGAAACTGACGAGTGACCCCTGATAATGAAGAGTCAGCCTTGCAAACACCTGGGAGAAGAACATTTTGGGCTGAGGAGAGGCATGTTCAAAGGTCTTAAGAAAAAAGCAAGCTCAGCATAGCAGAGAAGTAGGCAGGTTGGCTGGAGGCAAGTATAGGAGTATACTGGTAAGGCCAGAGAGGAAGGCAAGTCCCAAGATGTGTAGGGCCCTGTGGGATTTGATAAAGCGTTCAGATATTATTCTGATGGAGATACAAAACTATGGGAAGGCATTAGCAGGAGAAACACATGATCTTTCAAAAAGATCACTCTGAGTTGAGTGCAAGATTGGAAGCAGGGAAACCAGTTGGGAGGCCACTGCAGTGGTCTAAGAGAGTTGATGGTAGCCTGGACTAGACGGTGATAAAATCACTACCTAGGTTGGAAGAAAGTCTCAGATTCTACAGGTATTTTGAATAATTTCTGCTCAGTGTTTTCTTCCCAGCCAACCTAGGAGCTTCTTGAGGGCAGATGCTACATTTGAATGATCTTTGGATTTCCATCCTACACCTCTAAGCAGTTAGCCTTATAGGCAGGGGTTCAGTGTTAAGTGACTAGATCTCTGTGATCTGCCAGTGAATGTGACAGGAGGCAATGGCAGTGAAACAGAAACATGAGCCTGGGGCAGAAGTTCTACAACTTCTAGTTGCTCTGATGGACTCCTTCCTTTCCCCCTCTTTATCCTTCATTGTCTCCTAAAAGAATATAAAAATGTTTGGGAGAGAAGGGAAAGCAGGAGTTATGAAGTTTTTCTGTGCTAGCAACTGGGGTTAATACTTTCCCATATTACTTCATTTGAGTTAATTTATATAATCTTTATAACAACATCTAAACCTATGCCTTCATTTTGGAGATAAACAGATTGAAAGCCCAAAAAGGAAAAGGGACTTTATGAAGTTGGGTGGGAAGGCAAAGATGTCACAGAATAAAACATTCACATTTTGAGTCCCACATAAGTCCTTCCTCCCACTTAACACTCCAATACTGTTTATCCACATTTATTATGCTGAGGTCTTTTTTAGTCTCTTGCTCATTGTTAGTAGCACACAATGCAGTGAATCTCAGGGTGAACTTGCAGGTCTTGAAAGAGATTCAAGATTGCATGAAGTCAGTGAAAGTTATATTGAAAACCATTCTCTAATGCCATGTAAAGTCCTTGATAAATGGCAATTTGGCCGAGGTAGGCCAGTTACCCCTGGCAGGAGAGAAAATTAACCTGGGTAATGACAGGATCAAGACTTCAAAGAGAATGATTCAATTCTCAAAAGATTATAAGAGGTCCTTGGGATAATTGAAAAAGCTCTCTAATTTTGGAAAAACTAAACAAAAACTCTGCTTATGCCTGTGCTGCAAAAATCAATATTATGCTCTCATTCGCTTTGGTCAGGAAAATTACATTATCCTCCAATGTTTGATTCATTCTTTGTTCGTTCTAAAAATTAGTGTATATTTTCAATTATTCACACATTTTAAATGGAAACTGCAATATTTTTTACACTTCCAATTTTATTTCTCAAGATGAAGTCCCAAACAAACCCTTTCCCCATTTCCCCCACTCTACAGTGAAATATTACTTCCCATTTCAAGTGGATTCATTCTAAGTGTCCTCTTCTCTACCACCACTTATCCTGAAATAACAAGGAATTCATGTAGCCCCAGCCTTTTCTTTATCCAATGGTTGCCAAGCCTGGCCTGAGTCTGGTTAGAGGGGCCACTCAGCAGGGCAGTTGCAGGATTGTAATGGCTTAGTCCACGTCAAAGGCTAGAGCAGCTACTGCCTTGGCACATCTATTGTGCCCTTTATTCCCCTAGCATTGTGGATGAGTAGCCGCCTCTGCTTCTGTATGTAGTATGTTAGAGACACCTCAAGTCCCTCACTTCTCTTTCCTATGCCAATGGCACAGAAAGCCTGGCTCCTTCCTCATGGACATGCAGTGAGACAAAAACATTTATGTTATAGTGAGCATATCATGATTGTCTAACATATAAGGTTGTGCTGTCTTGTCTATCTGTGTCTGTGTCCTGTTGTATTGCCAGCACTCAGCACAGTGCTTGACATATCAAAATTGCTCAATGGGTGTATTTTTAATGAATAAGTTGAACCCCTTCGAGATATAGTAAGTACCATGATTAAGGTACAAGGCTTTGTCAGAATACATGCTGGGTGTGGTGGCACACTTCTGTAATCCTTGCACTCTGGGAGGCTGAGGCAGGAGGACTGCAAGCTCCAATGAAGCCTGGGAAACTTGGGGAGACCCTATCTCAAAATAAAAAAAATAAAAAGGTGCTAAGGATGTAGCTGGTGGTAGAGGGCTCCTGGATTCAACCCCCAGTATTGGGGGGGAGGGGAAAAAAGAAAAAAGCCTTGTCAAAATACAGAGGAGAAAAAGATCATTTTCAGTTTGGGAGAGGGTGAAGTTCTCACAGCAGAGGTAGAAATTGAGCTGGATTTTGAAAACTAGGTAAGCCAGTGATGGGTGGAGGAGAAGTGAGCGCATTCCTGGGAGAAGAAACAGTGTGAACAAAAGGCAGGGGAGAAGGCACAGAGTTCATTTAGTGACTAACCAGTTTAGAAAGGGGATGGGACATGAGTGTGTGAGCACCTGTGATGGAAAGTCAGACTGGTAGGATAGTATTAGAAAACAAAGGCCCTTGAGTATCTTGCTCAAAAGTTTCTATTTGATTCTACAGGCAGTGTGGAGCCATCTGATGCTTTTGATGTTTGTGTGTATATGTGTGTGCATGCATGCATTTGATGTTTTTGAGGCATGTAATATGTTTGCTTAGAAAGATTAGCTATATCCTTTAGGAAACTCAATCCAGGCAGCATTTCCTTTGCAAGATATATATTGAGTGCCTCTAAGGTGCTTGCTACTGTGCTAGGTGGAGGAGGGATTGCAGCCAGACTTAATTGGCCAAGAGGTTAGTTGGACAATAGTTAGGCTATTGTAGTCCAGGCAAAGGCTACTGAGGGCCTGAAGTGGCTTAGTGGTAGTTGGGATGGAAAGAAGTGGGGACAATGGAATGAGAAAAGACTGAATGACTAATGATAACTATTGGCATTTGAGTGGCTCCTGTGTGCCAGCTGACATGCCAAGTGCTTTATGTACATTGTCTAATTCTCACAATAATCCCTTTGATAGATGAGGACACTGAGGCTCAAAAAAGTAAAAGAACATGTCCAAAGTTATATAAGGAGGAGATGGTGATGACTAGACTTCAAACTCAGCCTGGCTCCAGAGACCATGCTATTTTGCTTTTGGGGGAGTTGGAGGACTTGTGTTTTCTTGGAAAAGTAATTCAGCAGCTTAGGCTAAGCATGCTCCCCTTTCTCTCATCTATATGAAAGAGGTGTAGTAGCAGAGGGTCCTTTCTGCTGCCCCTCTAGCAGTTCTTCAAGTGCCCCTCACTCCTGCGGTGGGAGGATGGGCCTGGTAAAGATTGGAGGTGTGGAGAGGTGTGGCCTGCTGTGGAGATAGGAGGCTGGTAGACTAGAACCAGAGGCTGCAATAAAGGCAGGGAATTAGTAATCCCCAGGCCCTGCAGAGTAGACTTATTTAGACCACACGCAGGGAGGTAGGCCAGTAGGCCAATAGGTTGGTGGTTGGATTTTAGACTGGCACCATTATTTATGAATTAGGTGATTCACACCAAAATCTTGAGCCTGGCTTCCCTTGAGGAACAAGAAGGTCTGGCAATGCTGGGCCTACATTCCCATGAAACACCTCTGGGTCTGTGTTGCCCATGCCCTGCAGTTGTCACTGCTCATGGGTAAGTCAGCACTTTTCCCCAGCTCAGCCCACTTCACTACTTAGTCATCTGCCTGAGCCCGGCAGGTGGTTGGCTTTGTGAGTCCTTGTCTAGAATGGTCTACTACAGTTTCCCCTTTTAAGATTTGGGCCGACAGGGGGCCTGGCACCAGCTTAGCATCCTCTGGTAGCATCCCCTTTCCAGGTCCTAGATTGTTTCCTAGGGCGCAAGCTGAGTTCTGCAGAACAAAGCCATGGAGAGAGGGTTATCAAGTCTTACCATTTATTTCTTTATGGGGTTAAACAAGAGCAGAGAGACCTCTGGCCCACAATGCAACAAAACAGAAAGCAGTACACATACAGAGACTCTCACTGAAATACAGAGGCAGGGATAAGAGGGAGGGAAGAGACAACTGAATCATAGCCAGGTAAGGGAGGAAGGGATGGGGGGCTACTAGGAAACCAGCTTGGAGACTCAGTCATAGGAACTAGTGCGAGAAAGTCCTACTCATGAAGCACAGTGTAGAAAATGGCATAAGAAAGGTGCCCGGCTCTGCTGCCTGTGATGGAGGGCAGGGGCAGCTGGAGAGGTGGTGGAAGAGCAGGGTGGTGGGGTGCATGGGGACAGTCATATGACTTTGAGGTGGAGTGTGGTGCCCCTTTCCCCTGGCACTGGGAAAGGCCTTGGGCTGGTCTGAGCCAGGGGTCTCCTGGGCACTTGGTGAAGGGGAAGAGAGGATGGGAGTCTCCAAAGGTCCATTCCCTGGGGCCATATGTCCCCCTTTACTCCCCAATCTCTTTTCCTCTCCTGAGGATGCAGGAGTTAGGAGGCAGTACCTGGGGTCTCTCTGGAGCCCAAGCACCTGCCCCTTCACTTTAACATAAGCCAGCACCTCTTCCCCTCCCTAGCATAAAAGAGTACTCTAGAGCCAGCACCTGTGGCTGGGCCCGAAGTGCTGAGGGCCAGAGGAGTGTGTGGGCAGGGCACAGGGGTGGAGGCATGGGGACAGGCTGTGAAAAATGAAAAAACTGGCAGGGAAGGACTCCCCAGGCTCATGAAGCTGATTTGGGACTCAGCTGAGGCCCTTGAATGTTCTTTTCTGTCCCAGGGAAGCTACCCATTCATCCCTAAGTGGACCAAATCCAGCTCTTCCTCCCCATTCTTTTTTGGGGTTCACTGTAATGCAGCTCTACCCCACCCTCAACTAGCATCACGTCCTAGGACTCAGGCCCTCCTGGCGCTGAAAGCCCCTGGCCTGTCCCATGCAGTTCTGGCTCTATTTCTTGTCAGCTTTTATTGGCTTTTAGATGTCTTAGGCAATGTGGCCTCCCCCTCCCAGCACACTCGTATAAGGCTAATAGACCCCCCAAGGGATACTTGATGCCTCTTTCCCGACCCGGCCCCCTAGCCTAACCAGAGTTCAAGTCTCTCAGCCAAGGGACAATAGCCCATTCTCTGTAGTCAAAGGGTCAGCTTGGCAGTCTCTGGATTTTCTCTGGGAGGGGACTGGGTGACCGGAGCAGGGGACCTGCCACAGGGTGAGGAGTCTGGTTGTTCCACGGTTGGGATAGTAACCCATGGGGTCAGGGGTGGGAAGGGATGAATACTCTTTGGTAGGCTGGGGATAGGGACAGGGAAGGGCTGGGGAAAGCTCATCTCTGGAGAGCTCTGGTGCAATGTCACCAGGTTCTCCTTCATGGAGGCCTGGGCTAGGACAAGGTGGGTGAGTACGAGGACCCAGGCCAGCCATGACCCATATGGGCTCAAGTCCCTCCTCCCCATAGAGATCAGAAATGAAAGGTCTTTGGCCCCAAGGCCAGGATCTTCAGGGCAAGAGTGGCCCTTAGAAGTATGTGCACCTTCTGTAAGATATGGCCCTTCAGACAGCGGCAGTCCAACCGTGTGCCCTCAGCCTTCTGTTTTTCGGCACAACTCAGCTCCTATGCTCTTTCCCCAAAGGGCTCCTTCTGCAACTCTCTCTGATTTGGGGGTCAGTTCTTGAGCCTGCCTCAACACTAATCACTCACTTCCCCAAAGCCAGAAGGCAGGCACCCATTTGGCCATCTCTCTAGGCCCTCTGTCCATGTTTCCTCCCCCTTCCCTTTCTTCCTTCTCTTTCACCACTCCATCCGTCCGTACCCTATTCCTACCCCTCAGTGCCTAGGGAGGTGGGGCACAGGCTCACTGGGCTCCCATCTAGCTGCAACTGTGTGCACTTCATCTACCAGTGTGCACTTCATCTACCAGCCTGGCACGTCACCCATGACAGCCCCATGTGGGGCAAGGCGCTCAGAAGTGGCAGGAGGGCCATTGCACTGTCTGCCGTCGCCTGTAGAGATATGGGCTGGAGGGAATTAAGGATCTTGGCAACAAAAGGAATGCGGGGGGGGGGGAGCTTCTCCCCTCTGTGCCCCCCAACATTCCCTGCAGGGCCGGGGCTGGGTGAGCAGCCTCCTACCCTGGGGTTAGGGCCCTCAGCGGGGATGGGCAATTCCAGCCCCCATTCCCCACAATTTTTGCTAAGTCCCACAGATGGGGCTTGGGTGCGGGTACCTGCTGCTCCTACCTTTTTCTCCCAAATTAGTTTGCAGCTCCCTAGGGCCCTCTGTCCATTCTGTTGGAGCTGCTTTTGGGGTAGGGGTAGGTTGGGGGATGTGAGGCCCCCCACTTCCCTCCACCCCCACCTGGTCCTTCATCTCCCATGGGAGGAGCCCCCCCTCACCTGGGGGCGGGCTGGAGCTGATATCAGTGTGTGGTGGAGGTCTGCCCTCCTTCCCTGCTGTCACTCTTCCTGTGTCAGGCCCTCTTCCAGAGCAGGCAGTGTCTCCAGCCCCAGTCCCCCACCACCTTGGTTGCTAGAGAAGGACACCACGGTATGGAGGATCATGAGGACAAGGACACAGAGCCGGATCCTGCTGGGGCTGAGGCAGGAGCCCCCAGAGACCAGCAGCAGGGAGGGCTTGTGGCTGACACGGCCTGGGGGATCATGGCGGGGGTGATAGTGGTGGTACTGTTGGTGGTAGTGGTGGAAATAGGAATGGTGGAATTGCTGGTGGTGGGTTTTGGGGGCCTCAGACTCCTTGAGCTTCTTCTTCTCCGACTCACAGGAGACCCACTGCACATCACAGCACTTGGTTTCCCGCCGTTTTGGTGAAGTATCCAGCAACCCTGCCAATGGATAAGGAAGGTGTGGTGCTCAGGGGGTTGATGACTCTGCCTTACCTGGAGAGATTTTTCAAAGCTGGGACTGCTCAGCCCTATCTAAGACTTATTTCCCCTTGCCCCTCAGCACCTTCCCTTTCTGAGCCCTTCTCTCCCAGGGGACCCCAGTTATGGGGATGCCTCAGTAGCTGTGTATATTCTGGGTAGAGATGGCCATTCTGGTCCTTTTTCCTATTATGTTTGGCCTCATACCAACCTGGGGACCTTGATGCCCACTCCTCCAGCCACTGACCTTCTAGCCTGACTTTGCTGTTGTCCTCCCTGCTCCCACTCCCCTGACCTGCTGCCTGCCTTGGATCCACAGCCTCCTCCCTCTTCCCCAGTGCCCTGCCTTTACCTGTACAGATAAAGCCAGGGAGCCCTCCGTACACCATTTCCTCATTGTCAGGGAGGATAAAGGGACACCGGGTCTGCACCTCCAGGCAGTATTGCTTGCAGGGCACCCAGCGCTGGCATTCCTGCTGGGTCACGCTGAAGTATTCTGAGCACAGCCAGGCCTTGTAGACAGCCTGTGGGGAGAGGAAACAGCATCAGCCCATGTGACAGCCCCTTCTCACCTCAGAGGACAGGGATGGGGAGGACATACTTGTGGTCTCTCAAGGGGACCTTGCCAACCTAACCCCAGAATCCTGGCAATGAAGAAGAGAAAAGGTTTGGTCCAGCCCACTACATCCTACCCTAAGGTCTCCCATGTCATAGTTCCCCAGTCTACAGTCATCCAAGACTTAGAATTTCTATGTCAGAGTGGAAGGAGGCTTACTAATCATTCTACTCAACCCTATCTTTTTATATTTGGTTCAAAAAGGTGTCTTGACTCAAGGTTATCTATATATACTGTAATGAGGCAAATTTCAGTTCCATTCAATTTGGCAAACATTTTCTGGGCTGATGGTGCTAGGTTTCTAAATTGAAAGACATGGAGAGAATAATCCTTGTTCTACCTCATTAAGGTATCATGTGGATCAAATAATATGGCACATATGAAAATTTTTGTAAATGTTAATGGGCAGTACAAATGTGAAAGATTACTTTCAATAAAAATAGAAATCTATCTGTCTTTCCAAGCATACATGTGCCTTTAAACTCTACTTAATCCATGCTTTGTCCTGTTGGCTTCAGCCTTGGTGTACAGCAGAAATCATGGACATTTCCTTTGGAATCCTGACTTTGCAATTTTCCTTCATGGGCCTATTTCTTGCCCCTCATCTAGTACCTCTCCCCCAGGCACTGCATCCTAGCTAGAAAGGTCCCCTGTGTTATACTCTGGCTCTCATCAAGCCCAAGGGTTCTCAACAGCAACAATGCTGACATTTTGGGCGAAATAGTTCTTTGTTATAGGGGTTGTGCTGCGCATGTGCTGTGGATACTAAGCAGCATCCCTGTTCTTTATCCTTAGTGGCAGTAGCATTCTCTGTTCTCCCCCATTATGAGAACCAAAAAATGGCTACAGTCATTTTCAAATGTCCCCTGGGGGGCTCCAGAGCCATACCTTTGTGCAACTTCCACCGTCTCTCACCTGGATTAGTCTCCTATCTGTTCTCCGCACCTCCACTCTTGCTCTTTGCAACTCACTGTCTACACAGGAATAAGAGTAGCCTCAAACTTCAATCAGATTATGTTACTCCCTTGCTTCAAACCCTGCAGTGCATTTAGACTAAAACACCAACATCTGAGCATATGATTCAAACCCCTGCACAATTTTGCCTCTATATTTCTCTTCAGCCTCATTTTCTACTTCTCCATTCAAGATCATCATGCTCCACAGAGGTTTTCTTTTTCTCTCTTCAACACATCCTACTTCTTCCCATCTTGTGGCCCTAACACATGCTGTTCTCTTGGCCTAGAATGCACCCTGCACTTTTGGCATAGATGGGTCTTTTGTCATCTTTGAGGTTTAAACACCACCTACTCAAAGAGGAATTCCCTGACCACTGTCACCAGAGGATGTAGCCCTCATTTATTCTTGCTTTTCCTTGTTTCTTCACTACAAGCATTACATCCTTACTTCGGTGTTCTGTTAACCCCACTAAGATGTGAATTGTATGCAGGGTGACATGGGTTTGTCTTATGCATACTCAGTGCAATATTCATGAACATATCTGTTGACTAAATGAACAGGGTAAGTAAATCAAGACAGGCCCCTACTGTCATAGAAATTTCAGGTTCATGGGTAGACATATTTAACTTGAATTGGTGGCATTTGATCTATAAGATAGAAGAAGTCAAACCAGGGATGATTGTTGGAGTAAAGCAAGTAGAGAAGCTGGGAAAGACTTCAGTGAGGGGATTACAGCTGAGCCTGGACTCAAAGCAGTGTTTTATAAACAGGATGAGTAGAGATGAGGCAAAAGGGCTTTCAAGGCTGAGGCAACAGCTTAAGCAAAGGCCTGGAGGTGAGTGAATGCAGGGTGCCCTAAAAAAACAGGGAACACATTCACATAAATGTAATGGAAAAAGTACCAATTTCCTGCTCAAGGACATTTATTTCCAAATTGTCACCATGATAAACAGTGCTCCATTGAATATCTTCATACACATATTTCTTGTACAGTTGTCTTCAATTTTATTTATATAAATTCCTAAAGATGAAATTATTAGGATAAAAGTACATGCAAAGGAATGGAAAGGAATGAAAGGAAGGTGAAGGTAAGAGGCAAGGTAAGAGGGCTGGAGGGTAAAGAGAGCGGTAAGAGGGCCTCAAGGGATAAGAGAGTGGCTACAGGGTAAGGGGTAAAAGAAGGGGTATGAAAGATGGTAAGACAGTGCAGTTTGGAGGGGTAGGACTGGTACTAGTAGTAATCCTGGAGGGGGCACAGGGTTAGGAGAAAGCAGAATAAGAGATGGAGGGTGTAAGGGAAGCAAAGGGTAAGAGAATGGAGTGAAGGTGAGAGAAGGATAAAAACGGGTAGAGAGATAAAAGGGTGCTATAGTATGGATCTGGAATGTCCCCCAAAGGCCCATGTGTTAAAGGCTTGGTCCTAGCCTGTGACATTACTGGGAAGTGGTGGAACCTTTAGGACGTGCGGCCTACTGAGAAGAAGTTATGTCATTGGAGGCATGTCCTTGAAAGGGATACTGTGACCTTGTTTCCCCCCTCCTGCTGTTTTTGCTTCCTGGAAGCCATGAGATGAACCCATTTCCTCTACCATGTACTTTTATGGGGGTAGTTTTGAGATTGTACCCAGGGTCTCTTGCATACTAGGCAAGTGCTCTGCCACTGTGCTACTCCCCTAGCCCCCTATTGTGCATTTCTGCTATGACATACTCTGCCATAACAGGGCCAAAGCAAGATTGCTTTCAGTCTGTGATCATGGACTGAAACCACAAGTCAAAATAAATCTTACCTCCTTATAAGTTAATTATCTCAGGTGTTTTGTCCCATGGAAAGCTAACACAGAGCGAGACGGGGGAGATAAGGGGGTAAGACGGAGATAAGAGGGACCTTCTAAGAGGACAGGTTAGAAAGAGGGAGTAAAAATGATTAGGGTAGGAAGAGGATAAGAAGGCATAAGCGTAGATGAGAAAGATGGAAGTAAGTGTAAGAAAGCGGGGTAAGAAAGAGGGATAAGAGAGCAGAAGGAGGGTGGGAGAAATAGAAGTAAGGCAGGAAAGAAAGTGAAATCACAAGAGAGAAGGGCCTCAGCACCTTGAGACCTCATCTCCATCTTTTGGGCCCCAGAGTGCCAAGACAACTCTCTGTCCACAGTCTTTGCCCCATCTCTGCAGCCTGGACCCCGAATCTTCCTCACTCTCACCCAAAACTGTGTGGAACCCCACCCCACCCCACCCCACCCCACCCTATGTCCACTGGCTCAGAGGCCCTCCTGAGATTCTTCCTGGGCTCTTGCAGTTTAACGTTTCTGCTCCTAAGTAAAGAGACCCCATTGGTGGTCCTGCCTTCCCCTCAGGCGACTGCAATTAGCCCAGTAACAGGCTGGGCACTCCCCTCTTGTGCTCCTGGAAGAAGGGAGGAAGGAGAGAGGGGTGGCCTGACAGTAGGAGTTCGGCCTTTCTCCTTAATTAGACGACCTCCCCAGTCCCCACAGCCCCCAGCTAGAGTCACCATGGCAACAAGTGTGTGAGCAGATTGCCAGGGGAGGACACCAGGTCTGTGGGTGGTGAGGCAGGAACAGGCAAGGAGCTAAGGAAGGGACTAGAGGAAGAAGAGCTACACAGGCTCAGAGGTAATCCAGCTCCTTACACCTGCATCCCACCAGCTGAATCATTGCTTCAGAGGTGATCCAGGGTCTGTCTTAGGTGAAACGTCTGGTTCTCAGGGCTACCACCTAGGCAACAGCCTTAAGACTCTGCGGCCCTGTTCCTGAGCCAAACCTAGATAGCTTGCTCTGTCTCAACAGTATGTGGCCTGAGCCAACAGGGGCTGGGCACTCACCTACAAGGACTGGGAAGGGCCAGGATTAGGAGGGCTGTGGAGCTTGCCCGAGCGGGCAGGCAGGGAAAAAGAGGAAATGTCTCAGAACTAGGTAAGAGTCAGTTGGGAGACTTGTGGAGATCTTTCACTCTCCAGTTTCTCAGCTATGGCTGCATATTACAACCACTCAGAGAGGTTTTAAAAAATATTCCTGCCTAGTTGGACATGGTGGTGCATGCCTGTAATCCCAGCACTTGGGAGGCTGAGGCAGGAGGATCACTGTGAGTTCGAGGCCAGCCTGGGCTACATAGGGAGTTCAAGGCCAGGCTGAACTACATGGTGAGATCCTGTCTCAAAAACAAAAACAAAACAAAACAAACAAACAAACAAACAAAATATATATATATACACATTCCTAGCTGACTCACATCACACCCCAGACTAACAAGGTCAGAACCCTTGGAAGTGGGGCCCACACCCCACACATCTGTAGTTTTGTAAAACACCTCAGGCAAACAGGATTGAGAACCACCAGTTTAGTCCCACTTTATCGTTTTATAAATGGGAAAACTGAGGTCCAGAAAGCGGGGAAGGACTCATCTATACCCATATCAAATAGTGGCAAAGAGATTCCCGATTCTTCCTATTGAACAATCCTACCAGCGACTGAATTCTAAACTAAGGGAGCAGCCCTGCTTTGGGGTTTCAAGTTTTTCAAACTCCAGCCCTGGTAGAAAAGCCTTCTCAATCAGGCCCTGTCCTCTGAGTTGGACCATCTTAGACCCGAGGTAGCAGTGGGGGACTGGTGGGGTGGGATGCCTTCTCCTGTCAATGCCCTCTTTTCCCTACCTCAGGCCACCGCTGGGCTCAATCACGTTTAGGCTGCTACAGCCCAGTTGCTATGGGAACTGGGAGGGGAAGGAAACAGTGAGTAACTAGAGGGAACACCAATTAACCCAAAAAGGAAGCTGGAAGGCTGTTCCAGTCCTCCTCCAGGCTGGGCAGAGGAGCCACTGAAACAGGAGGGCCAAGATAAAAGGGATTCCCACCCCTCCTGGGCTCTGCAGTTGCCAGCTTAAGGAGGAGTGGGAGGACCTGGGCAGCCTCACACTCTAGCTCCCTGGCTTGCAGCCCTGT